TGTCACATGTAAGCTTTCTATTAAAATTATGCTTAGGTGACAAATGGATTTTTAATGTGCAATAACACCACATATTAAATAATAGATTATTTGTTTTAAACGATAATTTAAAGGAGAAATTTGTCTCTACCTTTTTTTTTTTTTTTTTGTGAGGCCAATTTATCCTTACTCTCCTATTTGAGTAGCAGATTTGGGAGTTCTGCCATTGTATTGCTTGACATTTGTGGTCTTTGGCCTAGTTTAATAACACCAAATATTGACAAATTAGTGAAAGACAGAGATAGTGGTTTGAGGGCAAGCACGATTCAATTTTGGTTGTAATTAAAACTGAATTATTGGTTAATTGTAGTTCTAAGTTTTAAATTTTAGTAACCATTAACCAAATTGTAAAAGACATGATTAATTAATTTTAGTTGCATTTTTTAAAGTAACCATTTGAATTGGTTTCGATTTTAACCAAACAATTATTTTTCTATTTTTAGTATTTTTTGAATTTTTGAATTAGTATTTTATTAATTTCAATCACTAAAAAAATTAAACATTATCCAAATAAATAAATAATTTAGTAAAAAATAGTTAGAAAACCTTAAAAAAAATCTAAAAATCATTAAAAAACTAGTATAAAGGTTTTTAGTTTGAATTTTTTTTGTTATACTCACCCTAGTCATTTGTTTTTTAATTTTTAAACTTAATAACTAAAATTCAAATGGTTTAAAATTAATTTGATTTAATTTTTAGTCAAACAAAATCAAAACCTAATTAAACTTGTTGGTTAAGAATTAATCGGTTTTAAATTCTTTTCGGTTACAAAATTTTTGGCCCATCTTAGATATGAAGACTATTTTTTTTTTTTTTTAATTTTCTTGTTAACGCTGTTGGGATGCGGCATGACATGGTTTTGATGGCGAAATCTATCCTCTCTTAGTTCTAGACCCGTGTTTCTAACAATCCCAACCCAAACACTGTTCCCAGACCCGTGTAAGCTAAAGAACTACAAAAAGTCTTCGTCTTCGATACTACTTTACTCCTAGTCTTCTAAGTCTTCACGTGGTTTTGATGGCGAAATCTATCCTCCCTTGGTCCTAGACCCGTGTTTCTAACAATCCCAACCCAACTATATATTGTTCCTAGACCCCTTATAAAGCCTTTTTTTTTTTTGGTAAATCCAGACCCGTGTAAGCTAAAGAACTAAAAAAAGTCTTCGTCTTCGGCACTACCCTACTAGTCTTCAAGTCTTTACATGGTTTTGATGGCGAAATCTATTCTCCCTTGGTCCGAAAAAAATAATATCGTACGTCCACGTCCAACTTTATGATCACTTGATCCTTACTGTTCAGCATATATGAAAGAACTATTTTCTTTTATTATAATGAGCAATATCGTGAATAAGGCTGAATTGGCTCACAAGCCTCGAGGGTAGTCAAGTCTTATGAAAATAGTTGACTCAAACAGACTAAGAGGGCATGAGTATTACCTTATTAAAAGACCTAGTCACATGATAAAGTGGTGATTGGTTAGAAATTAATTTTATTAAAAAAATTATAAAAAAAGGTATTATATAATTTTTTTTTATTATCAAAATCAAATTTTTTTTATTTAGAATATAAGGGAGGTGGCTTTGCATGGAGAGGTGATGGGGTGCGGTTTGTGTAAGGAGAGGATCGAGAAGAATAATCAGGCAGGGTTATA